TTCCTACAGAGGTTATCTATTGAGAGTTATTTCTATGTCCTAGGGGTAGATTTGTCTTAGATCAGGCTCTTTAAGTAAGAGAATCTAAGATGGATGTTTGTGTGCAGGGGGGCATTACTGGGGAATGTCCTCAAAAAACAGCACCTGTGATGGATGAGGGAAACAGGTTGGGAAAGCCAAGTTGGACTGTGATACTTAGCCCGAACCTGGCCAAGCAAATGTGGAACTCTAGACTTGAGATGGCCCTGCAGCGTAGTCACGAAATGAGGCTAGGGGCTCTGTACCTTTCTCCCCAGCATCAATCAGTGATTGTATGAGAACCACTCCTAGGGAGGTTCCAGACAAATGTCTTTGCTCTTGTGGCACTAGTATTCTAGCAGGAGGATAAAGGCTATGAGTCAAAGTCAGGATACATAAATCAATTAAATAGCACATGAGGAGGAAATGGCAGCATGAAAAAATAAATTAATAGAATGGAGTATAAGTGATTGAGAGGGAGGGTAATCTTGGGTTCCCCTCAGCTGAGAGATGTTCTCAAACTTAAGTAAATATAGAATCATCTGGAGGGCTTGTAAAAATACGGGTGGCTTTAGTACACCCATGTTTATGGAAGCACTGTTCACAATTGCCAAAAGGTAGAAACAACCCAAGTATCTATCAACAATGAAGGGATAAACAAAATGTGGTCTATCCATACAATGGGTTATTATCAGCCTTAAAAAGGAAGTAAATTCTGACACATGATACAGATAAATGAACCTTGAGGACATTATGTTCAGAGCAATAAGCCAGTCACAAAAGGAAAAATACTATATGGTTTCATGCATATGCACTACCTAGAACAGTTAAATTCTTAAAGACAGAAAGTAGAATGGTGGCTGTCAGGGACTGAAAGGAGAGGGAATAGGAAGTTAGTGTTTAACGGTGACAGAGTTTCAGTTTTGCAAGATGAGAAGTGTTCTGTGGATGGAAGTTTATGATGGTTGTACAACAAAGTAAATGTACTTAATATCACTGAATGATACACTTAAAATGGTTAAGATGGTAAATTTTATCTTACATGTATTTTACAACAATTAAAAAATAATAATTTTTTACAACACAGATGGCTACCCCACCCTTGGGTCTCTGATGCAGTGGGCCTGGGGTGGAGCCTGATAATTTGCATTTCTAACAGTCTTCTAGCTGATGTCACTGGTCCCAAGACCAAAATCTGAGGACCACTGATGTAGGGCAATTCCCAGAGAGAGATTCATATTAACACATTTTATAGCCACAGATGTGTCTCAGTCTTGAAGGGAGAGATCTTGGAGGGTGCATCCATGACCAAGACAACTTTAGGAAACAGAAGAGACTGAGATTCTGGGGAGTTACATCCCAGTCTTAAGGATGAGGGGAATGGGGGATATAGCAGGCAGGATAAAGATGCTCTTTACCTACCAGCCACCTTCTCTCACAGGAATGTATGACACACCCACCCTCTCAGTTCATCCTGGGTCTGAGGTGATCTCGGGAGAGAATGTGACCTTTTACTGCCGTCTACACACTGCAACAACCACGTTCTTCCTGATCAAGGAGGGAAGATCCAACCGCCCACAGCACAAACATGGGAATATTCAGGCAGACTTCTATATGGGCCCTGTGACCACAGCCCACAGAGGGACATACAGATGTTTTGGTTCTTACAACAACTATCTATGGTCTTTTCCTAGTGAGCCTGTGACACTCCTGGTCATAGGTGAGAAAACCCCCAATTTTCCCCCATGCCCTCTCTGGAACCCTAAGTGAACCCCAATCAGTGATGAGGGACAAGTGGGAAGATGTAGAAAGGGTACCTCCCACCAATGCCCTTATCCACATCCATTTCCTAGAGGCCCTGTTGATTGTTCATGAGGAAGAACACCAGAGAGAGAGGGAGGGGGAGAAAGAATAAGGGAGAAGACCAGAGGAAATTCAAAGCCCTTACTTTTTTCCTTGTCCCCATTGTCAGGAGATGTCGGGAACACCAGCCTTGCACCCACAGAGCTGCCCTCTTCTCCTGGTGAGTTATTGGTACTTCTAAACTTGGGGGAGGAATCAGTCTCCCAGTGACACTAAAAAGCATGGTAGTCATTCAAAATATCTGTTGAGTGTACAACATATGCCATGACCTATAGCTCTATCAGTCAACAAACAGATACCCTTTCTCTTGTGGCACTAGTCTTCTAGCTGGAGAAGACAGATCATGAGTCAAAGTCAGGATACATTAATCAATTAGATAGCTCATGAGGAAGAAATGGTGGTATGGAAAAAGACAAAGTAGAGCAAGCAGGGTTAAGGCGATTAGGAGAACAGGCAGCCATATTCAATAGAGTTGTCTGAGTTGGCCTTGCAAAGAAAGAGGCATCTGAGCAAATACCTGAAAGATTTGAGAGTGTTAGTCCTGTGGCTATCTGGAGAAAGAAGGTTCCAGCGAGAGGGAATGGCCACTGCAGGAGGATGGCCAGTGTGATAAAAGAACAGCATGGAGACCAGTGGGGCTGAAAATAATGTCATAGAGGTGATAGTAGGGATGGCATGGAGCTAGGGCAACTCACTTAGGACCGTGAAGAAAATGGTGAGACTGAATTTTACTGTGTGTGAGGAATAAATGATACTTCTTGACTCAAAAAGCAAAATTGAGGCTCAGGTAGAAGGTATGCCTGGCATGAAGATACACATTTATAAGTCCTAGTGCTGAACTCTTCCTCAGGTTCACCTGTCCTTTGACTCCTCCAGTCTACCTGCCAGATGAAGCCACTAGGTCCTGGAGTGTAGGGTGGGAACCTCAAAAAACAATAGAATGTCATGGGGTGTATCCAAGGGGAGAGGCTGCGATGGAAGAGGCCAACACCACCTCTTTTACTCACTTCCCCACTTTTTTTATCATCTGCAGACTCCTGGAAACCCTCCTTGTTAACCACAGAGATGGAATTCCAGAAAGGTAAGCAAGCAGCTGGGGGATGTAGGGTCTAAAGGAAGGAGCTTGGAAAGGATTATGATCTGAAAAAGAAACAGAGGATGAGGAGGTAGTGTTCATGTGTGCCTACCAATTATCACTGTTCTTCTGATCCCAGATCTTGCCCTCTGGGGTCAAAATTTCCAGAATCTCCTTCGAATTGGTCTGGCTTTCCTGGTCCTGATTGCCCTTGTGTGTCTCCTGGTGGAAGACTGGCTTCACAACAAGAGGACTCAAGAGGGAACCAACAGGGCTTCTAGTCGGGAATGCAGACGTTTCAGAGCACGAAGATCCTTGGACCAATAACCAAAAGATGCAGGGGCCATCTCTGAAAGTTAATCTTGACATTGATAGAGCTGAAAGCTCAACTTGACTTTGGGCTGTGTGATCTCTGTTATACCCATAGAGGAGTGCGTCACTGCAGGACAACTGCATGGCTTGCTGAACCATCCTGGAGGAGGCAGGAGGGAAATGAAGATGCTAAATTTCTTCTGCAATTAGATCCCACTGTCTCGTCTATGCGCTATGTGTTTTTGTGCCTGCTTCCCTCAAACCAAACTTTTAACCATTCTGGTCTTCCCTGAAAACATCTTATTTAACACCATGGTCATGGGAATATTCCTTTCCTACTTTGCTCTTTACCCCTATTTCTTTTTTGCTCTCTCTGCAGATGTCATTCAAAATACTTAGCAACCAGTACAAAATAGGCATTTATTAAATGAAACAGGAGCCAGACAGGCAACAGCCAGTCAATGGAGATGAAAGCAGTAAACAGTGCTTGTAATTGTGCTGTGGCTGGATCTCAACCACACCCCAATTCCCTCTATCCTGTCCACCACATGATTCCATCTTCACTTCTTTATCCATACCTTGCCTTGTTCTTCAGGTCTTTTAGTAGATGTCATCTCCACCAAGAGCATTTCCTAAATCCTCCAGCTTGGCTTACGATACCACTTTCATGCTCCCAAAGCACTTGAATCCTACTACCACATATATATCCATCTTCCTATCTCTACCCTGAACTCATGTGAATTAAATCTATGTCAGATGTAATGGCTGTGTTCACAGTTCCCACTACTAAGGGAGTTCTCTGGAAATGTATGTTTAATCAGTGTATATATAAATGGGGCTGGAGCACAGCTTGGAACTTGACTGTCTTGTATTTGGTCCTTGATACACTGGGAACCATAAGTCCTTTCATCCTTGAAAATTTCTACTTGATCAACTCATTAATATGCCCATTATATGGGTCCCAACACCACCACCCCCAATATTCTGGTCAAATTAATTCTCTATATCTGAGTTTTCTGTTAAATATTACAGAATAACAATTATAACCTTAAAGAGATAATATGAAAATTTAATGAGAACTGAATTTATAATCAGCATAAGCTCTGACATATATAAGTTACTCAAGGCATAGTAACCATAATTATTCCCAATATTATAGGGAATTGATAACTTCACCAATTATTACCTCATTAACAGTGGCCCCAATACTGAATTTTCTTCTTTCCATTCTTCAACTACAAGGTAGTCTAAGATCCAAGAATTTCTAAATTAATATCAAATTATAGTCTTCTTCATCTCAAAATGAGATGGGTTTGGTTGGAGTAGGTTCATGACATTCCAAGTTTTTTATATTCTAATTTATGGTAAGAAACCTAGAGTCTCAAGGAAAACATATATTAGGTAGGAGAATTTTAGGTCTCAAGACATAGTTGCATGGGCTTCACCTGGGAAGAATAGCCTCCTCAGAGGAATAGAGGGGTCTTTACCTAACCCATGGCCCTACTGTTTCTACCAGTTCAAGTCAAAATCTTCCAAAGCTGGTCAACAGGGTAGAGCCAAATGGTTAAGTATTACATTATTTTTTTTAACTGGGAAATTGGGGAAGGGAACAGTGTTAAGGAATTGGGGAAGGGAACATTGTGTTTTTCCAGGACCCATCAGCTCCAAGTCAAGTTGTTGTCCTTCAACTTTAGTTGTGGAGGGTGCAGCTCAGCTCCAAGTCCAGTTACCACTTTCAATCTCAGTTGCCCAGAGGGGATGGAGTGGGGGTGATGCAGCCCACCATCCCATGTGGTAGTCGAACGAGCAACCTTGTTGTTAAGAGCAGCACTTTCACCAACTGAGCCATCCGGCCGCCCCTTGGTGGCTCAGTGGCAGCTCAGCTCAGGCTCAGCTCACTGGCCCATGTGGGAATCAAACTGGTGACCCTGTTGCTCAGAGCTCGTGTTGTAACAAACTGCACCACCTGGCCAGCCCTACATTACTCTTTGAAATATTGAACATGGCTTGTATTCCAGACAGCAAAATGAAGCATAGGGAAATAGGAAGGAAGGGAAGAGGGGAGGGAGGGAAGGAGGAGCCAATTGTTATAAAAATTTCTCAGAAACATTCATACAACACTTCCATTTATTTCTCTATGGTCAGAGCTTAATAGCTTGGGTATTAAGAGATATTGAGAAATGTGGACTTTATTCCAGGTGGCTCTGTGGCAAGCTGAATATTGGTATTTTTGTTACTGTTGAAGTGAGAAGTAATGTAACACAGTTGTACTAGAAAACTCTAGTCTGTTACAAAAGCCTACTATGTGTCAGGTACTAGTGAAAGTATAACACACTGAAACAAATATTATCCCTTTTATAACAGGATTGATTACCTGGAGTACAGATCTTAAATTAGTGAATACATAAAATTGGTTAAGTCTTGTGATAGAGGAAATCCAGGATGCCATTGGAGCCTCTTCCTGTGCAAGACTCAATTAAACAGACCTTGAGAAGGTGTAGAGGTGGGAAAGGGATGATGGTGGTAGGTGTCTGTACCAGTTCATGCAAAGGTTTAGATGCAAAACAGAAGGTGAGAAACATTCAGTGTAACCAGAGCTTTGATTATGAGAGAATGACTCTGGGTGATGCTGGGCAAATGCAGGAGATAAATTAATAAATGCATATTTTATTTTTAAGGCAATGGGAGCTCATTAAGCACTTTGATCATGGATGTGATATGATGAATTATGCACTGTATAAAGATCCTTTTGATTGCAATGAGAAGAAGGAATTATGCAGGAGAGAAAAAAAATAGAGAGGAGTTGAGAATGACTCACATATTTCTGGGGTTGACAACCAGGCAGATAAGAGTGCCACTGGTAACCCAGAGGGTGGTCAAGCTATGGGTAGTGATACATAGCCCTGAGAGTTGGTAACATATATTCCCCAGCTTTGTTCTCAGTTTTCAAGATTTCTTTGATTATTTGAGGTGCCTTAGTTTTGTTTTGTTTTCTAACTAAGTTAATTGGGGTAACAATTGTTAGTAAAGTTACTTAGGTTTCAAGTGTTCAATTCTGTAATACATCATCTATATATCACATTGTGTGTGCACCACCCAGAGTCAATTCTCCTTCTAAAATTGATATTTTTAAAGTTTTATTACTTAGAACCTCCAGTACATTAAAAAATAAGAATGATGATAGTAGATGTCTTTTTCTTAGTACCAATATTATGGAGAATTTTTTTAAAGATTTTATTGGGGGAGGGGAACAATGTTGGGGAATTGGGGAAGGGGAACAGACAAGTTGCTGTCCTTTTGTTCTTCAGCTTTTTTGTGGAGGACGTCGCTTCACTGGCCCATGTTGGTATTATCATTGCACTCTTCCCAGGTGAGGCAGATCGCTCGCTGGCCATTGGATGGCTGCTCACGGCGGCTCAGGGCAGCTCACAAAAGCTCACACCCGCTACACCATCACCAGTGACTCACAGCAGCCCAGCTCCAGGTTGAGCTGTTGTTCACCATCTTAGGTGTAGAAGGTGCAGCGTCACTGGCCCTCATGTAAGATCCGAACCGGGGCCCTGCTGCTCAGAGCTGGCATCCCAAGCCAACTCCTAACCAATGTGCCACTCAGCCAGCCCTGGAGAGTATTTTAATAACTTATTATTGAGTAAGCTAATTGCTGTACTCTTCTGTAAATACTCATTGTCCCAGTTAGAAAATTCCTTGTATTCTTTTTTTGCTAAATGTATTTCCTTTTGAAGATGAGAAAGAACATATCCATTGAGACCAGTTTGGAGCCTCCCACATTATTCTGGGTGAAAATTGAGTTAGAAACAGGCGCTAAAGCTTCAGAACATGGAGACAATAATGTGGAAGAATGTCCATCGCCTTCAACTTTTACTGATCTGGAGGCCAATTTCCCTGAGATATTACCCATGCCGGTAGTCTTTGCCCCCGTGTGCTACTCTTCAGCCACTGGAAACTGGTTTCTCACCCCACACTTCCTCTGAAGCTGTTTTTGTAACAGACGCTAAAGAGCTTCCTGGAACTCGCAGTGGACATTTCTCAGCCCTTTGATCTTTGTTCCTCTGTCAGTTGTCTATGACCACTTCCTCCTTGACGTAGTCACCTTACTGGCTTTCTCTACTCATTTTCTGGCTGTTCCTGCACCATCAGGTGTTCAGGTTCTTTAACGACAGAGCTTTGGGGTTCAATGGTAGGCCCACCTTTGCCCAGACATGAATCTGAGTTGATCTCATTTAAGTTTATGTTTTCAATTTTTCCAAGGTAGTTAACCAAATCTCTTTCTCTGAACCCTAATTTTTTTCTGGAACTTCAGATCATTTTACCAGCTTTTCCAACCAACCTGGACTCATCATCTTTCAATCTTCAAAGTTGTTCTAACTTGGAATAACCCCCCACCCTGTTCACAGTCACTTTGCTTCTTCTCTATGCCTATACTTGTTCTTCTGATCACTGCTTGAACAACGTGTCACACAAATTAGCAGGTAATAATATCAGTTTTGTTTATGGGCTTGTGGGTAGAGATATATATTTTTATTATTTCTCCCAACAA